ACAATAGTAATTATGATAAGCAAACAGAAGAAAGTATACAAAAATAAATTATAGCTATAGCAATTTAACTAATCATAATGACAAAATACGTGGGTTAATGTTATAGAAATATGACAATGGCTAAGTGTTATAATATGCACGTAATATCAAAGTTTATTTAGGTTGTTATTAAAAACGATGATAATAATATTATTAAGACGTATAAAACAATTTTGATAGAATTCCCTTATTTTTACTTATTATACCGAGGGTTATTTTATAATTTATTCCCGAATTAAAGAGTTCTAATTTTGTAATACTTAAAACAAAACATAAAACATTTATAAGCTGGTACACAATTATTGAGTGACGTAGTCCGCTGAGGTCGTCTTATAAACCAACATATTGCCAGTTAGAAGTAATAAGTTTAAAGTTATACTTCAGAAAATTTCAATTTTCAAATAACAATAAATCATTTTGGTTTTTGGTCATATTATTATTATTATTATTAATTGACGAGGTGGTCGCACATATCAAGAATAAAATAATTAACCTTTCGATAACTATTATGTAGTTAATCACCACATACATATTACATTAATCACATAGATATATACTTCCAGGTTAGGCTAATTTATATGTTTTCAAGGTTACTTTGATGTAATTGGAATACATACATTATTAGCTAATACCTACAATAAAACATACATTTTTATAAAAATATATCAAGAAATTGAAATCAATAATGGTCTAAGTAGAATATAAAATAGCTATATTTATATAATAGTAGAAAAATAGTAAATTACAGATTGGTACTTTTTTTTACAATATAGAATATAGATTTGTCCGATAGATATTATGCGCTCTAATCTTTTGGTTGGAATATCGATGGAACCGTTTAATACAAAATTATTTTTGTTATACAAATCCATTCTAGCAACTTAAAAAACGTTCGTATTACACTTATTACTACCCTGTATTACATAATAGGATCATTAATAGAGCATTTTATTTATATTCTATATTTATATTTATTTTTGATTATCATGCATAGTACTTTATATATCATATTATATTTTGGAGTCAGATGAATAATTATCTGACGGGTGTGCATTCGGCTCAATAACTGTGAGGAGGGCGCGAGTAGGTACATTCAAACACACCATAATCGAAAATTCACGATACGTTGATTTGTGAAACTGGGAAATAGCCAATACGGGTGTTGTACACGTAGTTGACTATATTATAATATAATAATAATATCATGTACGATATCGCGTTCTGCAGTTATCACGTAGGTAATCGTTTTGTGTCACGCAGTGTTGGATCCTTATCACGGTTATTACCTATTTCGGTGTCAAATAATTGTGATACTAAATGGTAACGCTAAACATATATTATAAGACCTATATATAATCTGTTTTCAAGTATCTCTATGATGTTGTACATTCTAAAAGTTATTCGAACAATATATTTTATGTCATGATATTATATTGAAACATTACACTACAACATATTATTACATTTAGTACAACAGTTCATAAAAAGAGTATGCGAATCAAACAAAATATAAACATCACACATATTTTATAGATCAATAATTTTAATAAATAGATTGTTTTATTGAGGTATAAAAGTTATAAAAGTAACAACTGGGCGAATAAATGTAAAAAAAATTACAATTAAAATCGTCTATGCAACCAAGTTTCTAAAAAACAGAAGTCACCAATCAATAAAATCTGCGATCGAATTTCACTACATAATTTTAAAATATAGGTGTGTAGGTACACTGTACACATATTGTATTTATTTTATATTATATAAAATATCTAGTATGATTGTATGAATGTCTATGTCGTTCTAATTTCAATATTATTTATAGATATAGTATCATATTTCGTAAATTGTATGATTGTTCATTTTTTACTATGATAAAATCATAAAAATTATAATCTATATCTATTATTATTTTTATTATCTTATTATTAACTTATTTAGATTCAAATAAAATCATTAAAAACAAAACAATCTTATGTCATACTTATTTTCATTAAAGTACCTATTCAAAAAAAAGTAAGCTCTAGGGTTTGTATACAAAACTACATTTTTAAGGATGAAAATATTATGTAAGTAAATTTGGAATAATGTTTAGCTGACGAACTCAGTCCGTACTCAGAAAATTCTATGCTATTGGGCATATTATCATTCTTAGAAAAAATATATTTACGACGTAGGTACCTAGTTTAATGCACTAGAATAACATAAAAACGAACCGTACATTTATGTAATTACGTATGATATCAAATTATAATTCACTAATGATTATTATCTTATTTTGTTCATAATATATAAATCAATCAATCAAATTTTTTATACAGGAAATATATTAGTTAATGTATCAATGATGAAATAAGATTTTCATACCAAATCAAACAGTATCGTTATATAATATAAATGTAACTTTAATGTTTGATATAATTTTGATAAAAAACGAAGTACCTATACGTCATTATGATTAATATCATCATAAATGTTGTAAACTAACTTCAAATATTTTTGACTTTATCATGTAAGCAATAAATTCATTTTGTCATAAATTGTAAAAAATTTCGTACAAAATATGATATCTAAAAGTTAAAACAGTGACTATTGCATTAACACCCTATATTAAGTTTATGTTAATTTTTATTTATGTATATTAATACATTCAAATATTGTTCATAGTTTAAATTGGTTTGTTAAGCCCCTCTATCGCCAGAAAATAATGTTCAAGTAAAAATATTCCAAAGTATTCCAATTTGTGAGGTAAATCGTACACTACCCAATGCCCGTTATATATAATATATAATATTATGAATTACAATAATACAGAGAAAATAGTAATTTCAACTATTTGTATCTAATCACGCATAATCTTATATGAATCTAAAATCGAGTTATGCTTCTGTTCCACAACATTACCTTTTCTACTGTTTTGTATTAACTAAATTCACTCGAAATAAACATTAAAATCGTACAAACAAAACACGAAATATTTAGGTTATATAATTAGGTACTCTAGATATTTTGTAATATATTATTACACAGGTTATATGTGCAGATATCAAAATATTAGTATAGGTTGGTTGTTGTTGTATGTAGATGGTTAGCATGCTATATAAAACTTAAAACATAAAAAATATGTATTGATTGATGTTATGATCTGATAATAAAACAAAGAAACTACACTAATCGATGGTCATAGTTTTACGTGGACAATAATATTATAACAAGTTAATATAAGTACTCCTATCAATATTTTTAAAATAATGTTTTCTGTTTGCAATGTTGGAAAAAAAACAATAACAATCCATATTTTTCAATAACAATATTAAAGATATCAACACGAGAAATTTTTATATTTTGTGTGTAAGTAGGTACTGTTATCATGAATAAACGATCAAACATTACCAGTATTATACCCACTGATTTGTATTAAGGTAGGTATAAAAACTTATGATTAAAATAATTCAAAATGTTCCAGTTTCACAACTATATTTAAGAGATTAAATCTTTACATCGGTTTGACGATATAAGCTATTTTTATGTACATACATATAAATTCATATTTTAAAATATACATTAAACACATTATTTAATCAGTTAATCACTATAGTTACCTACAATAAGACTATAGTACACTAAACTTATGTTTGCATAATTCATTCGCATTGGAATGTCTGTCATATTTTCTGAAATTCATAAATAACCGTCGAGCGTTTTATTTCATAGGGAATTTAGAATGTTATGCATCCGCTTTTCAAAATGTAATTTATTCATTCGGAGTCAAATGTATTAAAAATGCATTTAATAAACGAATAGGAGTGCATTTATTTATTTTTATTCCGATTTAGTTTTACAGCATTCTGACACATGAATTAGTCTTATTACATGTTTTGGTTAGGTGTATAATAACTTTACCACCAACTTGATCGTGAGTACCTATATGTCGGTGTAGTGCTATAGTTATTTTAAGTGAGTTTTAAATTGAGTTATCAGTACAATGAGTTACGAAACTATTGATATTTGAGTATTCCGATATTCGGCTGATTATTTAGGTTTGAAAGTTGTGTTTTAAAATCAAAGTCGTTGTAACGTTGATCTGCGGATAACGAGAGAGAGCCATCGCAAAAATATAACCACATTTTTTTTTACCAAACTCAATATTACGCGTTGGCGTCGATGGTCCGATTAAATAATATATACTACAGTCCTAGGTATTAGACACGCTGTTGTAGCCTGTAAGGATTTAAAGCTTTAGACATTTGAGAACAGACACGCGTCAATTAAAAGTCGGAAATAGGAGTATAGTTTATGGGTCAGTGATGGTTGGAGGAGAGTGGATTATGACAAAAAACTGCGTCGCCACGAGTCTGCAGCGTTTGGGTCAGATTCTAATACCTTAACACGTACATTTCCAGAGAGTGTGTAATGGACACGCGTCTGCCACGCGTTTTCTAGTCTTATTAACATATATATATATATAGCATCAAAGTAAAGAAGCAATCAAAAAAATAATAATAATAATAAAAATAAAACATAAACACTGCACGTATGGTAAAAATTCCAAATGAAACACGTCGTCGTCGTTGTCCGACTCGAAATGCGCGACGATGTGCGTTTTGGGGATTCGAAAAAAAAATATATATACCTATAATAGACGTGTATACAGAATGTGTGTGTGTGTGTGTATGTGTGTGTGGGTATATATATATATGGGGTCTGAGTGTATCCCTATTAAAACGGAGAGAAAAACTTTGATACCGCCACCGCCGCCTGCCACCCGTTTATTGCCGTCGAATCGTAAAAAAATCCTGCTGAATTTTCAGCTCGTTAACCCGTCCTTCCACCCTTGCAACGTCTGTACAGATACCACCGTCATCGTTCGTTCGTTTTTTTTTGCCACCCACTCCCCGTACCAAGGTCGTATTCGACTTTTCCCATCGGCGGCGGCGTTTATTCTCCGGACGTGTTCTGCTTACCGTGAGCAATGATCTCGCCGGCCTCTCGGGTCCAATAGTTGATCGACTTGGGATGCGCTTCGGACGAACACTCGAGAGTCAGTGATTGGCCAATGAATGCTCCGATCAGCTGGTTCTGGATCCATATCATCGGCGGGACTGTGGACAACACATGTGTACGGTATTATAACATTATTATTTATTATTGTGGCTCCGATTTGTATTTTATACTTAGTGTTCAAGAAAATAAAATATATTATGTAAATATTATAAGAAAGGCATTAGCTGTATAGTCGTGACTGAAAATCCATTAACATTTCAGGGGGTCTAACATTTATTTTTTAACATCAATGTGAGTCGTGAGGCTTTACTCCCAAACAATGAAAAAACTCGTCTTTTTGGGGTAGGAGGCAGCTTATCATGACTTCACCCATGAAAATATTGTCAAACATAAAACATGATGCTATATAATTGTATCTTGGTTGTATTGTATAACTCACTGCAAGAGCAAATTGGTATCAGTGTACCTCGTGAACCTTTGTGAACTAATTCAAACGGCATGGACAATCCGCCTGTGGCAAATTGTATACATAACACTTGGAATATTTTCAAACGTGGTTTGAACTACTCTCTAAACACTCCTGATATAATATAATCTATCTAAGAGTATAATGTAAGCTAAGAATATAATTTGCCTTTAGTTATAATAACAAACAATTAATTAAATATTATTTTATTCTATTTAAAAAAAATCCATTGCAAAACGGATAGTCTATAACTTCTAAACTTTTTTTTTTAAATGTTCTGTTTCTAACCTATGTGGCAACCTTATATATGTATCAAAAATAATTTGATTTTCTTGAGTCAAAACAAAATCCACGTGTGAGCCACAAAATAGCAACTTTCAAGTACAGAAAAACGAAGCGAAAAAAATATTCATTGAGGAATACGTGTGTACAATTTGGTGTCAATTGGTTCCGTAGTTTTCTAGTTTATAAGCCCACACAAAGGCAAATTAATTTTTAAATATGTATACAACAATATGTAATAAAAAAAAATATTAATTATTGAAAATATTTTTAGATAAACTTTAAACTCTTTAAAAATGTAAAATATGTAAATAAATAAATATAAAAGACGATAGAATGTAATAACTAATTAAAACTTATTTTATTCAGAATCTTTTGAAAGTACAAGCATTTAACATATTAGTTTGTCAAAGTTCATACATGTTTTTAAAATATGAAAGTACAATATGTATTTATCATATCTATCATAAATCCTTATAAATCCCCTGTTCATTTTGCATTATTTGGTGGGCAACACGAAACAATGAATTACAGTGGAAGCTCATAGGGTGAATATTATTATTAGTATAAAGCTGTTATCAAATGTAATACATCGACTTTACTCACAGTTCACCACCAGCATAATCCGTTTGCTGACCGATGGCGGTACCCCGTTTGACGCTATGCACAGATACGCTCCCATGTGAGAGCGACTGATCCGTGTCAGATTCAGAACTGGCCCTTCGACGCTGTGCACTGTAACAAACAAACACACGAAACGATAACGTTATATCTCTAAAGTTGTATGTTATACGTGTCATTTTTTGGTCTAAAACGAGTATAACCCTATTCCTCTATATTTAGTCAGGTTATCATACGGAGGTAATCCGAATTTTGAGGTACAAAGACACGTACTATGATTTAAAAAACACGAGCATTAAACCTATAGTTCCTAGTGTGGATGTGGTTTGGTGTTTAAAATCAAATTAAACTAATTATCAACCTACAAAATCTTTTATAATCTTATGACTTTTCAAAAATCTATAGACTCTTTAATCTTATGATGTTAAAATGTACATTGTACAATGAAGATAGGTAATTACAGTATTATTTTAAAACTGTGTTAATAATCTATAGGTACTTACTGCAAATAACATTGCTAATAAACCTTTAAAAATTAATCGAAATACACCTGACCGTCGTAAAACACAGAATTACAAGTATTATATAATATTATAATGTATTATATTGTGTCATGTTAAATTCAACATAATTTATGTTTTAAAATCCTAAATAACACCGAAAAATGGAAAATCCTTATACTAATTTCACTCCAACATGCATTTAATAAAAAAAAACACAGAACCAATTTTAAAATTTTCTTCAATAAAAAAATAAATTATGTATATAATATCTAATAAGAGCGAGGACAATCAACAATTTTGCTTACATGTTTAAAGTGACCGGAATAACTGAATTGTGAAGGCACTCAGTAACCACCCGGCATATTAGATTAGTAAATCACTAGGCCAGGACCTAGATATGTGTCTGGGGCTTATCGAGGATTGCATAGAAGGAAATTCGATTAATAAGTGAGTTTTGATGGTGGGTAACTTGAAATGAAATGTAAGATAGTTTGATTTGGTTAACTGAGTAAGCGTTAGAATTTTCAGTCATTGCGGAGATTATTTATTATTTTTAATGAACCTAAAGAAGGCCCTGAATAGTTTTTAAGTTTGAGGTTTGGTAGAGCCCCATTATATCTGGATGTCATAGAACCACACTTTTCTGATAATAGCTTTACAAATGAACAGTTATATACTTATATAGTTATATTATGTTGAGTTATACGTTTATTGCCCAAGGATCTTGGATCGGAGAAATGGGTGGAGCAGGTGAAGGCTGGAGTCAGGAATGTACTGGCTTTATTTTATTTTTAAGATGTTGAGCCCGAGCTAGGCGCCAATTGAAATTCAAACCTAAATATTTCATCGACAGAACAGCAATATTATGCTATTATTAATATAGGCTGGGTGGAAATTTGTTCTTTATCAAAGATGATAAGGTTTGTCAATATTAACTTAATAAAGCTAACAGTTGTAAATAATGTTTTTTTTTTCTAAGTGTTACTTATAACTCGTATTTAATTTTAAAGTTCTACATACTACTAAAGTCGTTGTTGTAGCTGTATCAAAAAAAAATGTTCATGTCTAGCGGCTTATTTTGGCTACACAGTCCGCAGAGGATAATAATATAAGAGCCAGGGGACTATATATTAATAATATGTGTGTTTAGTGAAGCGTATAGCAAACACTAGAGGATAGTTCAGTTACAAAATAACGAGGCCACCTTCAACGGTGACCATTACAAGTCTTTAGTCAAGTAAAAGGGTAATACCTGATGCACTATTGTACACATTTCCAGTTTTCTTAATCCTAAACAAACGGGCAGCGCAAATGCTCAAACTTAAAAATGCTATCGTATGGTAATAATTACCATATTGTCGGACCAGTTCGAAACTGCAACGTATATATTTTATAATGTGTATTGTATAAACAATACGTCCGTTTGGGGGAGAATATACGTCTATCGACCGTGTCGTATTAAAATTTAAAAGTCACACATAAACTTACGTACACGGGGGCGATTCCACATGCACATATACGCCCTAAAGTATAACATACTGCATAAATGACCGCCTAGCAGTAAATTTAAGCGATTGAACTTACCGATAGTTTTAGAGTATTATTTTTGTATTTATAGTAATGGTTATAGTTATAATTGATAATGTGTGGAAATCGAAATGATTAAAATTAAAATATGGTTGTAAGCACACGGATAACACTTAATTCATTTTTCAAACGTGATAATAATAATTATCAGAAGTGGAATTTTAACAAACTAGGTAGTAAGCGAATGTAAACTTTATTATTATCTCTAAGTGTATACCGTATCAATTAGTTAGGTACTTTTCTACCATGCCTACTTGTGAAAAAAGTTTTGCAACATCGTATTAAATTTTGAGAAATTTGACTTAACAACATTGTTTCTGAACTATCATTAAAAAGTGTTCATCTGTGCATTATTAATGTTGAATCCGATTAAATAGCTGAGAACTTTTAATTTTTATTCTTCCTCGATTAAGTTGTGTATATACATTAATTCCTAACTATATAGCTGATACTTAATGATTTAATTAATTAAATACTTAATTCATCAACAAAATGTAAATATATTTTTTTAACAACGTTTCTAATTTAAAAAATGTAATACTCTAGATAGATATTGTATTTTTGTATTAAATAATATTTTAGTTTCATCCCTCACAGAAGAAGCGTATTTTTTTATCTCACACATAGGCAAACTTACAGGTGTAATAAGTGTTGTGTTTTAAAAACATGTGTAAACAAGCCCAATCTCATATTTTGTGGTTATTTCCGTGGTACATATTTTTTTTATATTTGTTATTTTGTTACTTTCCTTCACGTTCCATTTGTCCAAATGATAAACGTTTAGGGGGGCGATAAAACTCTTTACGGCTTTACCCTCTCTGTGACGACATTGCGCACACATTTACTCAAACTAAAGTCATTCACTACACACAACATCATTTTCTAGTAATAATAGTAGTAGTTATTGTTAGCATGACGACGTATTCGCGGACGGTGTCGGAATAGTTTGAGTTCAAACGTTTATTAATTCAATAAACTGTCATATTAGACGAGCGTTAGTATCTATGTTTGACGGGACGACGGCGGTGACAAGGTACCTCAAGTATACATATTATATATATAATATAATCCTAATATATAGATTATATGAGTATTATATGTATATAGGTATAATGTATATGAATACTAGTAACGGACTTTGACGACACCGACAACGACGACGCGACGGCGGCAAGCTCTGCTGCACCCTCGTTAGAGCCACTCGACGGGAGAGCTGATACTTGACCCCGTCGTCGCACGTAAAAAGCCGACCATCTCTCTCTTTTTTTTCTTCATATTTTTCCATCCGTTTGATTGACAATCGAAAGCCGCGCCCGCCATTATTGCCTCTCGTCGAAAATATAACAATATAATAGTATATAGCTATATTATTATGTAGTTGTTTATATAGGTATACGTGTTGCTCCATTATATCGTAAAACGGAGTTTGTGGGGGCCGGCTGTTGCAAACGGTTGAACCGCCGTTGACGTTTTATTCCTTACTTTTTTTAAAATTCTTTTTATTGTTGGCGTATTAATTTGTCTTTAGTGGTAGGTACTGTGAGCCGAGATGTGTAGAAGTGTACACAATAATTAATAATAAAATATTATGTTATACTGCAGTGTGTAGTTTTTTTAATGTGGTCCGCTCGGTTTTTTTATCATTTGCTTTTCAAAGATTTTCGTTTTACACAGTATAAAGTTTTGGAAAACATTTTTGCACAGTATATATATAGTTCTGGAAAACAATCTAATATTTTACGATGGTGATATTTTATGTTTTTTTGAGTCCAACGTATAGATATTGAAAACTAAAATCATAGTTTTTTTTTTTAAATTTATTAATACGCCAATTAAAATTCAGACTTGCGAAGTAATGGATCACAAGATTCTCGGGAATCGACATTTTTCTCATTTACACATTTTAGCGTTATAATTACATCGTACTATATAAAAACGTTTTATTACGATCTACGTGACGGAGATAAATGCTTACTGCTTAGTACCGAACTCCGTTATTATAATACATTTTTTTTTGGTTAGTAAATTACATTTAACGGAATCGAACGTTATTGATCTAAAATAGCTTTAAAATAAAAACATATAAGAAACGCTATTACCACCTTGGGCGCTATCAAAATATAATAATGTATATGTAGTATGACAATTCTTTATTATTAAAAAAATGATTTGACTTCTAACAAAACTTAATTAAATAATCTCTAGGCCAAAACAAGCCAAAACTCTCTGAAATCATTTCATATCAGTCAAGATTATAATTAACTTTTTATACTTCTGTTTAGACGAGGATTGCATTTAGATATTCGATTCGTGATTTTTATATTTGTGTGTGACAACCTTAATTAGTATTTATACAATAGCAATTTATTAGAAAATGAATTTCATTTCATTGTCATGATACCTTTTGGCTAATAGTCAAATATTTAAATGTGGTGCTATGTCTACACTCAGTTGCGTACGCGCTCTGAGTGTACACACTAGCCGGCCGGCATTGATAGCTCCCGGATGGATGACCACCCGGGATTTTTAACAACAAAATCCTTGCTACACATACGAATATGTGTTCCAGACAAGGTTAGGTTAGTACCTCCTACGAACAGCTAATGACTATAGTTACCGGGTTTTAGATCAATAATAAAAATAAACAAATAAAAAAATATTGAAATATTGTATCAACACAAAATATTTAAATAAACAATTCTCATTATGTATACCAATTAAATGGCTACCTACTGTATATGTTAAAATAATTGTAACTGTATATAAATTTAGGACCAGCAATCAGTATCAATTATGTAATTTGGTATTTGGTTCATTTAATAATATGAGTAGGTACTGTCGAGTTAGTAAAAACTATAGGGCACCTGTAATACCAAAATATAATATATTAGGAAGCTTAGATTGGTTATGTTAGCTGACTTGGCTGAGTCCCAACTTTGTATTATATTTTTATAGAGTTATGAGTTTATGACCAAACTGGTCCGATCAAAGAATATCAATTCATATTAGTATTTTGTTCCGGTC